GAACGCGGTCAGCCTGCGGGGCAAAACAATCACTCGGGAGTCCAGGACACCTCCGGTTTCATAAATCATAGGAGGGCTGAGGTTGGAGGAGAGGAACGGCGGCAAAGTCACCATGGCAAAGAGATTACAAAGTAGCTGGATGGGGCTGCATCGGGAACTTCCCACCCTTAATTCTATCCAGGGTCATTTACTTTCTTCTCTTGCAGGTACTTTCTGAAAACGAACACCCAAAAAACTTTGATCTGATTATAGCACAGCCCTCCAATCCCTACTTCCTTCTCCCCCCCTTCCAAAAACCTTTAGCCTTTTATTTCCTCCTGAAGACGAAAATTACCATGCCTCTTACCATAGACCCCTTGTCCCCTGATGCACACCATGTGGAGAGGCTGGGCCGGGCAAGGCAAACCGGTGACAAGCCGTACCTACTTGGGCGTACACAGAGGCAGCGGCGAGCGCCTGGCACCTGGTGTCTCAGGTGAAAGGGAAATGCTCAGAATGCAGTCAGCCTGCGGGGCAAAACAATCACTTGGACACCAGGTACCATGCGCTCACCACTACCTCTGGATGCACCCAGGCAGGTTCGGCTTTTCGCCAGTTTGCTTTGCCCGGTCCACCATCTCTCTGCGGTGAGGAGAGCATGCTGCTGCCTGCCGAAACTAGGCAGGCTGGGGTCTGGGTGGCATAGCGCAAGTAATGTGGACTCTCATACCGCAACCCTTCCCCAGCTGCGTTTCTTACCTGTTTGTCGCTGCCACCTGTGTGCGCACGCAGCCTGCTTTTTATCCTCTCCTCTCTCGCCCCTCCTTCTTTTCTCTTCAGTGCAGCTCCAGCTGACTCTTCTTCCTCCTCCCAAGGCTGAATCTTTTTTTTCTCTCCCTCTCCCACCCAAACTGCCTCCTTTTGATATCCCTTCCTGTCTCTGCCCGTCCTCCTCCTTTCTCTTCCAGGTGTACTGGAAGTGCTGATCCTGGGGCCTTGCCCCAGCAGCCCAACAGCTCCCGAGGACTCTCTCATGGCAAGTCCTGCATTGCGTTGCTTTGGCTCTTTCCCTCCCCGACTACCCTTGGCTGGCTGGGCAGGGCCACGTACCACCTGCCACGTGCCAATGTACTACCGGTGGTGCGCGTACCACCAGTTGAAAAGCCCTGCTATAGGGCATTGTGTGCCAAGACAACTAGATACAGGGATAGTTTTTTCCATTGTGCCATCACTACTGAATTCTCACAGTTCTGGCTAATGTATATCTATATTAACCCATACAGTGTGGTTGAAGTATTATTATTTATCCTTTTTATTATCTTCTTTACTTTCCCCTTTTATTGGTATTATTATTTTTACTGTTATTCTCTCTGTTGCTTTGTAAGTACACCGAAGTGTTTCTGTACTGGATACAAACCCCTTGTGAGTCTAATCACACCTAGCCAAATAAAGCATCCAATCCAATCCAATCCAATCCAACCCAACTCAATCCAATTGCTTTAATTGCTTTAACTTTTAACAGTGAAAAGCTGTAATTGTTTCTAGTACTTTTTATTATATTGTATGCTGTCCAGAGTCATTGTATCAGTGAGGTGGGAGGCATGGAATTTTAATACGTAAATAAAAAATAATAAATCTGGATTCTAAACAGCAATGAGGAGGGCAAACAAAATTTGAATTAATTTATTTAAAGTTCAAATTGAATTAAATATACTTTAATTTGGTAGAAGGCCTGGAAAATAAATATGTAGCAACTTTGGAGAAGATATAGGGGTTGCATCTAAAGATGGACTGTTTTATCCTGCTTTAGTTGGATTCTGTATTGTAGATCCTTTAATGAGCAAATAGTTAGATTAGATGATCTCCACTGTGTATTCCAAGCATTGAATTGTATGATACCCAAACATCACATCTTATCTTCAGAAACAAGGGATGAAAACTGAAGTCTTCTTTAGCTTCATTTCTGTCCACCTGGGAAGATGGCTTCACTGAGAGACAATACTGGTAGTCCTCAGCTTAGGACCATACTTGAGCCAAGCAAAAAATTTGTTAAGTGAGTTTTGCCCCATTTTATGACTTTTCAAGCCACATTTGTTAAGTGAATCCCTGCGGTTGTTAAGTTAGTAACATGGTTGTTAAGTGAATCTGGCTTTCCATTGACTTTGCCTGTCAGAAGGTTGCAAAAGGGGATCACATGACTCTGGGACACTGCAACCGCCATAAATGTGAATCAGTTGTCAAGCGTCTGAATTTTGATCACGTGACCGTGGGGATGCTGCAACGGTCGTAAGTGTGAAAAACAATCAACTCACTTTTTTCAGTGCCATTGTAACTTCGAACGGTCACTAAATGAACTGTTCTAAGTCAAGGACTGCCTGTATCTGTATTGCATTTGCGGGGAATAGTAAAGCTAGAAGATGCAGTAGAGAGTAAGATGAAATTCAAGGTATCTTTCTTTGTCACACAGTCCATTAGTAATTAATTAATTTCAGCAATAATTAATTCTAAAATGTTGCACTTCCATTTTTTAGAGCACAATAATGGGCTGATTCAATCATCTCTTAAGGCAAAATTACACATCAGAAAATACAAAGGTTGTCACCCCCTTTTCTTGATTCCCCTCCCTTTTTGACAGCATGAATTTTATCACAATGTATTACTTTGCTATGAGTTTACTTTGCTTTTTATTTTTCTGCTGGATAATAATCAGATGTGAGAATCTGGAAAAGTACATATAATAGTGGTGATGTCCGTTCTTAAATTGCTATAAAAATGTATTAAAAGAGGGAGAAATAAAATGACAGCAGCTTAAAGTCTTCTGCATCAAAGAAATACAATATTTGTTTCCCAAGTGGTGAAATACTAGCTTTAATGCATTACAAGATCCAAAGAAATGACAAATTTAAATTGTTGTCTTAGATGCATGAACCACTAGAAGATGATTTCCTCTGTGGAACATTAATTTCCTTTATTTCTGTCTCTGTAAGTGTATTTAGTACTTTCAGAAGGGCAATATAAAAATAAACGGGATTTCTCAATGCATCTCACATGGAAATTACAGCTGCAAGATACTAAAATATTCACAAGCATCCTTGAAAGCATGAACCCATCCTTCACTTAGTCAACAAAAGATGCTGGGAAGCAATTTTAACGGTAGTGTCCTGCATTTTCATGGGTGAATCCTGTCCACGGTTCTGATAAAATAGCTAAATCCCTCTCTGCCCTGTATGTATGCATCTATATATGTATGTGTATATGTATGTTTGTGTGTCTGTGTGTGCGTGTGTATATGTATACACATGTGCATGTAAATATATATGTATTAGATTAGACTGCATTAAAAATTACTGTATCAAGCAGACATGCATATTAAACAATACTCCAAGTATGATATTTTCTATATTATTTCATTGGGAAATTCATGAAAACATATATTGTGCTTTCTTGCTGATGCTAGATGACATTAGCTCTGGAATGGAATTTCTAGTTAGAACTATAATAGCTGAGTAAAAATGTTAAAATTTCAATATTTTTATCATTAATTCATCTAATTTGAATTTGGGAATTTTCTAAAGTTATTTAAACCATTTTTGAGGATTCAGCCTGTCTTAGCTGCATAATGAAACATGGAAATTAAACATTTTTTTTATTATAAGTGAAATATATCAGTGTTGGTCCTTAATATGAATTGTCTTTTCAATTTGCACCTGGCTTAGAGTCCTGTAAATAGCCATTTCTGGCAACATCTGAAACTCTTCCGCTTTTCTATGAATCATCTTGAAGACAGACAAAAAGACTGTTTGTATTTGTATCTGCATTATTTCTGCATTTTTCTTCCACTACCTAAAGCAATACCTTCCCCCATAAATTAACCTTTCATTTTGCTTTCTTTAAAGAAATTAAGCTGCTCACAGACAGAAGGGGGAAAAGAATCCCAAACAGCATTCTAATTAAATTAGATATATTTGTTTAGTATGAGGGAATCCATGGCCCTCCTAATATTGGCAAACTATAGTAGAGTCAAAAGTGAAGAATGCAGGGCTTTACATATGAAAACACCTTGTGGGCCAGTGGTTTCTTAACCCTGCTTTAATAGCAATATTAACAACTAAATCAAAAATCTAACCTATTAAACAGCCCCAGGGTTGGATTGAGATCACTTGTCAAGATCACGTGATTCATAGTGCCCATAAAAGACAATGACTTCCTTGCCATCTCTAAAATTGTCTTCCTTTTGGGAATAAGAAAACTGTGCAGAAAACTTGATGAGCCAATCATTCTCTCCATCCTTCATCTTAGGGTTGCCATTGTGGAGAATAACTGGAAACTCTTTTCGGCTGAAGGAAAGCCAAGATGTAAAATTTTAGGATTTCAACTAACATTAATTACTTCAATGAATATTGCCATTTTTGCATGACTTAATATGTAAGTGTTTATATAGTTATTCAAAATGGTATCAGAGCTACCTCTATGTATAATTTAACTGCTTAGTTCATTTTCTTTAGTGCTTTTACAGGCCATCTTTCAGAACCAAACTCCTAACGTAACTGACATTTAGAAAAGAAATTACATGAATGTCAGAATTAATACAAAGTTCCATATAAGAATAGTAGGACTTGAGAAGACCTGTTAGTCAATCTGCAACCACAGCTTTGTCTAGGACACCAAGGGTCAGTGACTGAAGTCACAGTAGGCTTAATAGCATGGCAGAATTATTTTTGCATTGGTTTTATCCTATTGTGTCGATTGTGTACATTTACGTATATTTCCTATATTAACATTGGTCTTCTCCAAATAGCTTATCTATCCCATATCTGGTAAAGTCATTTTTATATACATAGCACTGGCTTTATTTTCCTCTATTATTTATGTAATCTTTCTAAAGCATGGTTGCTTAGTGTCCTATGTTAATGAATGATTGTAGTGGGAAAAGAGACATTTGAAAGTGTTTAAGTATTCTGGCAAGCTAGTGAAAAAAAATGACCAAACGCTCCATCTCTTCCCTTTCTCTCCATTGCAGGATGAAGATGAGACGTCACAAGCTCTTTTTGACTCTGTGCATGGCTGGTCTCTGCCTCATCTCCTTCCTTCATTTCTTGAAGGCCCTCTCCTATGTCACATTCCCCAGAGAGCTGGCATCGCTTAGCCCTAACTTGGTGTCTAACTTATTTTGGAACAATGTACCAGTCACACCTCAGGCTAGTCCTGACTCTGGGGGTCCAGAAATTCTCCGTACCCCACTATATTCCCATTCGCCACTGCTTCAGCCTCTTTCCCCAAGCAGAGCTGGTGAGGAGCTGCACAAAGCTGAGTTTGTGCTGCCTGAAGACACTACAGAATACTTTGTACACACTAAAGCTGGTGGTGTCTGCTTCAAGCCAGGGACTAAGATATTGGAAAAGCCACTAGCAGGACGTCCAGAGGAGAAGATAGAGGGAGTTATATCAGGGCGCATAGGCCGTAAACTGAGTGCCACTGGGACAAAACGACGTAAATGGGTGGAGTGTGTGTGCCTGACAGGCTGGCATGGACCCAGCTGTGGTGTTCCCACCGTGGTTCAGTATTCAAATCTCCCCACAAAAGACCGTCTGACACCACGGGAGGTGCCCAGGAGAGTCATTAATGCCATCAATGTGAATCATGAATTTGACCTCTTGGATGTGCGTTTTCATGAGCTAGGTGATGTGGTGGATGCTTTTGTGGTTTGCGAATCAAACTTCACAGCATATGGTGAACCACGCCCTCTCAAGTTCCGTGAGATGCTACTTAATGGCTCCTTTGATTACATCCGCCACAAGGTGCTCTATGTCTTCCTGGATCACTTCCCCCCTGGTGGGCGCCAGGATGGCTGGATTGCTGATGATTACCTGCGTACTTTCCTAACTCGAGATGGCATCTCTCGCCTCCGCAATTTGCGTCCTGATGATGTTTTCATAATTGATGATGCAGATGAAATCCCAGCACGTGATGGTGTGCTTTTCCTTAAACTCTATGACGGTTGGACAGAACCTTTTGCCTTCCACATGCGCAAGTCTCTCTATGGATTTTTCTGGAAGCAGCCTGGTACTCTAGAAGTGGTTTCTGGTTGTACAGTTGGAATGCTCCAGGCTGTTTATGCCAGTGATGGAATTCGCCTTCGCCGGAGAGAATATTATACCATGCCAGGCTTTCGACAGTATGAAAACAGCACAGGTCATATCCTAGTACAGTGGTCACTGGGCAGTCCACTCCACTTTGCTGGCTGGCATTGCTCTTGGTGTTTTACACCTGAAGGAATTTATTTTAAACTGGTTTCAGCTCAGAATGGGGACTTTCCCCGTTGGGGTGACTATGAGGACAAGCGAGACCTTAATTATATTCGGGAGTTAATTCGGACTGGTGGGTGGTTTGATGGTACCATCCAGGAGTATCCACCTGCAGACCCCAAAGAACAAATGTATGCCCCCAAATACCTTTTGAAGAATTATCAACGGTTTGGTTACTTGTTGGAAAATCCCTATCAGAAGGCAAAGGGAACAGGGTGAGGGGAGTGGGCTTGCATGAGAAAACATGGAAAAAGGGGAAAAGGGAAAGTGAGACTGTCTTTTGTTTTTTTCCCCTGCCCATTCTGCTGGGATATGTACATTCTCTCTAAACTATCAGACCCACTGCAGACAAGAGATTTAGGGTATGTGTGTGTGGAAAGGGATTCCTAGTTATGTGAATAACTAGGAACATTCCTGTCCCCAGGAACTAGCTTTTTGTAGGATTGAAAAAAAATCTGATGCAGGAAGCATCCGTAAGACATGGGATTTGGGGAGCATGCAGTGGATGTATGAGGGTATGAATGTGCCAAAGCCTCTACAGCCTTTGTAGTACAGCTAAGGATAGCCTTCAATTCCATTTTTAAAACCTAGTTTCTTCTAAGAACTTTGGCATCAATGGCTGTTCTGCTTTCCTAATATATGGCCACTAAGAGAGATTTTGTCAGTGAAAATGGACATTGAGCTCATCTAGGATCTTTATATTTTGCCATGTGTGTCTGTTATATGAGGATATAAAGATGGGAGCACATACAAACTGGAAGCATAGTAGCACCAAAGAATTCTGCTTTCCATCTCATGATTATGGACATTCAGGGAAACTTTACAAACTGGCAGGGTATGAAGGTTGAAAAGCTGTCTGATTTTGGATATATTTTGGATAGCTAGCCTTTAATATAAGAATAAGATGACAGCACAACCTGTAGCCCACAGATTTGAAAAGAGTATAGCTATCACAGATACACTTCCCTCTTCTTCAGCAACACAATGTGATGTTTACATTTGCAACTTAAACAGGGTGTGTCTAATGCTTCAGAGGAAAGGAGAGGTCAGCTCCAGTGCCCGTCTTTCTACTTCTGAAACAGGAGAAGTGCAAAGGTACTTGGCTCTATGATGCCATTGTTTTGAGGACAAGATAATATTGTTGCTGTACTAATACCAATCATTTGGTTTGCAAAGGCAGAGACGAGGAAGGAGAGTGTCTATCTGATGGAAATGAAACGAGAAGCCAACACTTATAATCTGAATGCCAAGCATTTCTACGTTCCATTTATTTTTGCAGCTTTTCTTTTCAATGAAATATATCAGTGCCCCCCCATCAGTTATGTGTCTATGGCCCTAAGTCAGGACAAAAAACAGATCAAGGTTTACATTCTGTTAGCTGCTAGGAAAATAAATAAAGCAATGAGGAGGAGTTCAAAAAGAATTTCTTTGTCATAATGTGTTATTCCTGTCTGCACCTCTTTCCCTGTTTGATCCACCCAGCATTTTACACTTTTTTCTGTCTTTACAATATTTGAATTCCTACCCTTCTAGAGAATGCAAGCCATGTTGTTTGTGATTTGTCTTTTGCACATTTTGTCTGTGCAATATACTCTGTCAGTTCATCTTCTAACTTTTTTTATGTGGTGAATGTCTAAATACAGACTCTTTTCTATAGCAAAATTTCAGGAAAGAGGATTTGAGCTGGGAGAAGATGAATAGGATTTTTTGGTATGCGCTTCAAGGATGGCTCCTTCACCAGCAAAGTAATATTCTGTTACTTGAATGAATTCATCAATAGTTTAAAAATAAATTATTTTATGATAAGTACAAAAGAGCCCTGAGCTTGCTTAAAATCTGTCTTGTTACCAAGAAGAGATCTGTACTATTTTTTATCTTGTGATCAGCATAAGGATGAAGTCAATGTTAAATTAAGTTAAACTTTCCCTTTATAGATGTTGTTACCTGCTCTATCATAAAATTAAACTGAGCCAGAGAAGACACATATGCTTTATATTATGAGAAAGATTTGTCATGTCAAAGGAGAACTGTTGGGCACAACAGAAAAGAGTATTTTAGGGGTTCATGTGGCTATGCTAAAGCAAATGTGTAGCAATAGCAAAAGAACCACTAGTGAGGAACTAAAGGTAGTGAAACACCAGTTTTCTTAGTGTTTCTTCATTGCAGATACAGGAAGTGTTTTGCCTTCACCCTTGTGAGGAAATGAGAATCTAGGCTACAACTCCATTGCTCTCTGGTTCTAATTAAACTTCAACCACCGGGAGGGTCTATCCACACACTCAGTCATAAGAAGTGACAGGAGTTGATATCCAACATCAGAAGGATGGCAAGTTGTCCACTTTGGCATAGGGCTAACTCTGTCCACTGCAGTGTTCTCTTATTATGTTGGACTTCATATTTGGAAAGCTGAGGAAGACTACTCAAGAGACTATAGTTTTCAGTGCTTGTAATTCCAAAGTTCCATTAAAAAACAGTAATTAGGAGATGTTTCTTCAGTATCGATAGGAACAAGGGAAATAGAGGGGGTGCTTCCAAACTACTGTAACAGGGAAAAACTGCATTTTTATACTCAGTGAGACATAAACTGGGAGGTTGAAGCATATCTGGGTACTGGGTTCAAGTCAATCAACTTTACTTAAAAAGACAAATGAAATGTTTTTCTATATCATTATTATGGAGTTTCCTAGAAGAATGTACCCTTTCCTTCAGCTCAGTCAACATTGATTTTGACACACATATAATCTTCCATCTTTTGTATCTATTACTGTGCCTGACTTTTACAATGAATGCCCATGAATACTTAATTCACTCATTAGCACAATTTTTTTGGTTCCATCTGTCATCAAAATGTTTCTGAGCTCTTCTTTTATCTTCTACAAGTTTTTTTACACACACACCCCTTTTCTTTCCTGCATCTTTTTCTCCCTTTATTTTTTTCCCCCTTTTACTATTGTGTTTAAGGAACAGATCCCATTCTAAATGGATAAGTTAGCACTAAATTCCTCTGGGACACTGAAAGGACTCTTTGTTCTGATCTCCTCCTCTAACTGCACCAAAGTGAAACTTGAAACTGACCTCTATTGGGAGAGAAAAGGAGAATTTACAGTAAAACCTTTGCTTTAATAATATTAACAACAAACTTTTGCACAGGGCAGCTTGAAATACTTCTAGTATATGAACCATCTATTTATTTATTATATAGCTACTAGCATTCAGTTTCATAGAACAGACTGTAAGGAACTTTGCACTAATAACAATCCTTTGGGCATCTATTGTAGGGTTGGGTAGGGGAGACTATTAGTTTTGGGAAATGGCTCTTTTCTTTCTTTTTTCCTTCCCAGCCATCGTGAATAACTGGAGCTAATAGGATAATGCCTCTTAATGGTTGTTGATCAAATATATATATTTCCTTTACAGCCTTTACCTCACCCCCTTCTACTCTACTGTTTCAAACAAATATTCTGAAAAGTTTAAGCATAATTGCCACACTCAATGGCAGCCATAGTGAGTAGTTGATAAGTGGTGCCTATTTTGCAGACTGCATTTGGACATTGGGTTCTCATTTGTATAGTGTTCAGAGAACACCTTACTCCTACAACATTCTACTCCTTTTTCAAACCAGGCTGTAATATTGGTCCTAGGCTATGCCTCTCTTGAATTGCAAGTGGAGGAATTCAGTGACCTTCTTTATAAAGCATAAATTTCTCTCAATACAGAGAAGTACATAAAGAGAGAGAAGATTTTTATATTACCAGCTTTTATGATGTGCTAATTTTGTGACTGCAATTGGGATGTGCTCCGTCCTGTAGTCCATTTTCTGCAGCTTACCATAGCAGAGGTCAGGACCAGTTCTATTATTTACTTCTTATATGAACTAGGCTAATCATGGCTTTATTTTATTCTTATCTTATTATCTTTTAATCTCTTATACAATACAGACAGCAATTTAGAAGACTTCTGGAACTATACTACCACCTTTGTCCATTTCTTCTAATTCTCATTTTCTACGTTCAGTACAATTCTGACACATCTTATTTTAGCCTTCCACAACCTGCTTTTAGAATGGCAATCAAGCCCACTTAAGCAAAATCTGTGGTGGCTGAATATTAATGCAATTGCTGTCTTAATATCTAGGAAAATACTAGGTTAAGAAAAGTTTTTCTAGTTAAATAAGATATCTGGCATTAACTAGAGGATTGTATATGTTCATCATTTGATTCTCTGTGAGGTTCTTTCCTTACTTTCCCTATTTCTCCTACTATATATAGCTCCATATTATGTTCCCAATATCTGTATTACAAAAACAGGAAGCTCATTTTATTTTCTTTAGCAGACATACTGTTCAAGGAGATTCTGAATCATTTAAAAGTGTTATATTTTTAAAAAATTGCAGTTGAAACAGACTTTGAACCTGAACTGATATTTATATCGGTTCTTTGTTTGCTTCTGGCCAATCACTTATGTTTTTCTCTTTTTTACTCCTGGTTTCAAGTGATAGATGTCTGACTTACACTCATGTTCTGGCATAGATTGTAAGGGACAAATATTATGTCTGGTAAATCTATTAAAAGCTAAATGCTTTAATAAAGGAAGGGGCTGCTGTTGCCTTCATTTATGTCTACTTCCAAGATGCTATTCCACCTTTGGAGAAACATTAAAAGGGAAAATATGTTGCTTGTAAGTCCAGTGGAAACAGAGGCCTTAATAACACTACAGTTTTAGGACATAGAGGTAATTGTATTACACCATCATTGAAGTTACTAGGCTTGGTACATTGGCTTAAAAAGAAAATTTGGCAACAAGGATGCACCACTGTCCTGTATAATTACCACAGAGAGAAGTCCTGAAAATAGGACTTCTGTTTCTCAAGGAAAGGATGTGGGATATCTTATACTAGCAAACTGAAATAGCTTTTGTGGCCCATGTTGGCTAAGGTTTATGTGGGACTCGCCAAATAAGTAGAAGTCCTCTAAAGTCTAATTTATAATACCTATATTAATAATTTTCTAAGGGTAAATCAGTGTGTACATACTGAAATCATTTTCTCTGTAAATGGTTGGATTTCATTTCACCCTTAAAGGGATGTTTAAAGGAAGAAATAAAACAAATTACACAATGAAAGGGAACCTGGGATGTGTGCTTGTTTTTATTTCGAACTAGAACAGGAAGACGCTCAAGGAAGAGGGTAAGAAAACCTGTTTCTTTCAGCTCTGAATAAACACACATACATATATGGAAAAGTATGCAGTGTTA